CCACTTTCAGCCCTCCACAAATAGTCTGGAGTTAATTTAGATATGCGCATTCCCATTTTCGTAACCCTCCCTTGTACCCGTTCCATAGGTTGTCTTTTCTTTAAGCCCCAGATCTCAGTCCCATACATCGCCCCTGCCTTACCCAAAGTATTCAAGATATATAGCCTGCTCTTGAGAGTGTATAACCCTGCTCTGGTGGTAACCCCCCACGCTGTGTTAACTGCCTTTAACCCCTTTCCTGCCATTTTGCGAATGTGCCCCTCACTCGAATTTCTAGATGAAAACCAATATCCTAAGTATTTAAAGTTGTTTACAACTTCTACCTCCCTTCCATCAATTTTCCAGGACTCCCTTCTTTCTTCGTCCCCCACCCCTAAAGACCATGATTTTGGTGAAATAACGCACGACAGTGTCCAACATGCTTTGTAGCTCCCCGGCATCCTGAGCTACAGTCGCAATATCGTCCGCGTATTTTAGGCAGTAGATTTTCGTTTTCCCAATCACGGTTCCTCCCTCATTTTTCCTCTCCCATCTATCATTTATGTTGTCAATGAATAGATTGAAGAGGATTGGGCTCAAGGGGCATCCCTGCCTTACTTTCCTGCCTGTATGGAACCTCTCAGTGATTCCCGTCCCCGTAATAACCTCGTTTTCCGTGCAACTATAAATGGCCTTGACCATATCATAAAAACGAGCTCTAATACCCAGCTTCCACAGCTTCTCAAGAAGCAGATGTCGGTCGATCGTATCGAACGCTGCTCTTAAATCTATGAACGCTGTGTAAAGTTTACCTCCCTTGTTTTTTATTCTATTCCCAATGAGCGAGTTCAGGATGAATATCTGTTCCCTAGTCCCCCTTTTCCTTCTAAAGCCCCCCTGACTTTCCCTGAACTTGCCCTCCCTCTCTAGCCAACCACTCACCCGCCTGGCCATGATGCTAATAGTTTATATCCCAAGTTTAAAAGCGAGATTCCCCTATAGTTTTTTACCTCATTCTCGCCCCCCCCCCTGGTGAATAGGAAAGATGCGCGCCACTTGCCACCCTTTAATCAAGACCCCGGAATCCCACCCCTTCTGTACGACCTTCCACAGCTCGTCCTTCCATTTCTCAGGCAAATTCTTTAGGAGCTCTCTACTAATCCCATCTTCCCCTGCCGCTTTGTCATTTTTCAAGGCTTTCAGCGCTCCACAGAGTTCTAGGTATGAGATATCTTCATTGAGTTCCTCTACCTCGACCCATTCTTCCCGGCCTTCCCAGTCTCTATCTTCATCCCTAGCTATGCTAGTACCTCCCAAAAGCTTTGCCATCTGGTTCACCCAGCGTTCGTCCGAAATGGATAGACCTTTCCTCGTCTGATGAGGACGGCAGTCATTTGTAGCTTTCCAAAGCTCGCTCATGTTCCTACTAGCTTTAACTCCATTTTTCTTTGCCTCAGCAATTTCTCGCAATTTTTCCTTAGCCATTTGCTTCATCTTGCCTCTTTCTTTTTGAAATTTTACCCTGTCCCCCATTTCATGGCTATCTAGGTAGCGTTTCAGCATATCAAAGACTATGCCCCTTTGGATTTTATATTCGTCCCCCAGCCACGCAAAACTGTCCTTTGGGCCCCCCTTCCCCACTACCTTAGTCATTCCTATTTCTTTCGCTGCCTCTATGATTACTGACTTGATTCTTTTCCAGCGGACATAACATCTTCCCCCTCCTCTGAGTTAATTTCCTTACGATCTAGGTAATCCTGATATACTTCACCGGAAGCTGGCCTCCACACGAGTTTGGTCTCGTTTTCTCTCGATTTTCCCGACCTATATTTTTCCTTCACACATTCTGGCGCTTCAGGACTCGATCCATTGGGTCTGCACAGACTCAGGGCAATCCCCAGGTGGTCTGAGTCAATTGTAGGCCAAATATGAATTCCTTCCAACACCCCCGGAACCCCCTCATGAAGAACTAAATCAATGACCGAGCCCTCCACATCGTCTCGATTCCCTGTGAAGGTGATGGCCCCGTCCCAGTCCCCTTTGATAGCTCCGTTAGCCAACACTAAACCCTCAGTATCACAAAATTCCAGCAGTTTCCTCCCCTCCCTATTTACTATTTTATCACAGAATTTCCGTTCGAAACCTTCCTCATCCCCAGCTTGCAACGTGCCCACTCTAGCGTTGAGATCTCCCATGACTATGATAGATTCTCCTAATTCCCTACCTTCATCTATTTCGTTACTTATTTCTTTCAACAACTGATTAATCCCAACATTATTATACCCCGCAATCAGTCTACATTTTTTCCCCACTTCAGTCAACTTAATTCCAGATATAACTGCCCCATTGATCCACGTTTTGACTTTAATATTTCCCAGAGCATTCCTGACCCCTATTACAATCCCTCCCATGCCCCTGCCTTTTCTATTCCTTTTAATGGCCCCCTGGGGTGTCCATGTAAAATCGCTTGAGATACTTTTTAACCTCTTCATCAGGCCCTCCTGCTTGGCATTGGTTACGTGGGTCTCTAACAAAACTATAATATACTTGGTGATATCGTCCCAGACCCTCGTTACTTTATTCCCTTTAAGCCCAGCAACGTTCCAGCAGGTGGCCCTGATAAGTGCGGTTTCCCCCCCTTCCTCAGGTAGTCAATTATTCCTATCATTACCACAAGAGGAGCTCCTCCCATCGCTGCTCTCATTCCGTCTCCCAGCTTGCCTGTCCTTGATGAGTAGCTCTGCTCGTTCCTCGCTCCATTTAAATTTCATGTTGCGCAGCCAAATATTCTGCTGGAAGCCCAAGGTCCTCGCAGACCTCCCCAGGTCCCTTGCGCGAACAGCTAGCGCTTGGAGGTACTCCGTCACCTCAGCCTCTCTCTGAGTTAGATCGTCCTCCACCACAATTCCTACTTTTGTCAGTAAGTTATGGCGTCTCTGCATCAGCTCTTCTGGCGATGGTGCCCCAACCTGAAGACAAAGTCCCCGGAGGGCAGTGTCTGGACCTCCATCACCGATATATGCAGCCCTCTGCAGGTGCTACTGACAATAGTAGCGAAGTCCACCGCTTCTGTTCCCGGGAAGGAGTTCATACCCTTCACCATCACATTGTCTCGTCTCCTTCTCCTTTCTTTGTACTCGTATTTCAGCACCCCCCTACTCAATTTTTCTGGAGCGCCCTGTCTCACTGCCAGACCCTCGAGGGGATCATTGCTCCTTCTCTGAGTGGATTCCTCTGTCTGGGAGATCCTTCTCTGATTCCATTGGTTTCTGGTGCAAATGCCATTAACATCTCTTCCCTGTGAGCTCTTTCCCCCTTATGGAGACAGTCAATATTTGCGGTCCTGTCCTCCATTTCTAACGTCGCTATGCTTCTCGGTTTTATCTTTAATTTTGTCAGCTCTAGAACCACCCTTCTCCGGGCTCTCGGACACGTACGAAGTTCTCCCTTGTGGAGATAGCAGATAGTTATCTCCAACGATCACATTGTTGTGGCCCTGGCCTTCATTAATAGCCTCGCTCTGTTTCACTGCTCCATCCTCGCTTCTGCTAGCTGTGGAGCCACCCGTCTTAGAGTTCTCGGTCAAGAGCGAGGTTCTCCTAACCTCCTCCATCTGTCTCCGTTCCTTGGCTAGGGACAGTTCCAAGTCTCTCCTCACGTCGTCAAAACCGTAGACCACCCACTTTCCCATGGTTTCGACCGACTCATTGACCTTCTCCACTCCGCTCAGTATATCACTCAGTACCTCGTGCAGTCTTGCATCGAACATGTCTGATTTCTTGGTTGGGGTCTCCTCCCTGGCCATCAACGCCTTCAGCATTCCCTCAATGCTGTCCAGCCTTTTATTCAGGCGTTGATTATCCACTGCTCTGCATGACCCACACCACTTCCCACACGACTGACATATATGACCCTCTCCCCCTGGCTCAGTGTTGACACCTACTTCTTTCTTCTCTCCTTGAGTCTCACCAGCTCCAGCACTACTCTTTTCTTGAGGAGTTTCACTCGCTACCATCGGCATCTCAGGAGCTATTTGACTTTCCTCATCGCCTACCTTGTCCTTCGAGTCCTCCTGACATTTCGCTGGGCTTCTCTCCTTCACTTCTGCCCTCTCCAGCGCCTTCTCATCAGTCAGGTTTTTCCCTGCCAGCCGACCCATGCTACTAACTCTCTGCAGCAGTGCGGGATCATCTATGTCCTCCTCCTCCATTATCTGGCATGCTCTCCAGTCCTCTCTTGGGGAGCTGAGGCTTCTCTTGCCTCTTGGAGGAGTGTGCATCACTTTCGCACAGAAATTTGCCTCATGGCTCCGCGTGAAGTAGTCGTCGATCTTCATACCAGAGGTTTCCTCCCCCTGGCTGGCCGTCTCCTCTTTCTTAGGCCTTCCTCTCTTCCTCTTCAATTTCTCATCAGCAGGAGTCCCGGGTTGAGAAAGGCCCATACACACCGCCCGTTGCTTTCCCTTCCCAGTGGCGCCATCCGTGAGCAGCAAATTACACTGGTTCTCCCTCTCGTCGTCCCCTCCCTCTCCTCTACGAGTCTTTCGTTCACGACCCATTGTAACCTCTCCTCGAAGGCAGTGACTGACAAAAGCCAAAAAACTTGCTAGGAGACACTTCCTTGACAAAACCTATTATCTCCACCCTTGTAACGAGCACTTAGAAGATGCCCCCCCCCCAAACTTATTTGCGTAGATCGCTCATATTATATAATAAACTGTTAGAATCGCAGAGCGATAATCTAGCGTCTATCCCTTGCGACCGCAGCGCCCCCTGATCGGTGCGGTTTATTTTACTCGCCTTTGGCTCGAGAAAATACTATCTTGGGAATGGTTAAACGCCCATAATTACTCGTTTTCCTTACGGACTGTATGTTGCAGTGAAATATCCTGTTGTAAAAAATTATACAGATGCCTTTGTTTCATCCTGATCAGCGAGGGATGGATTTATGTTATCAAACGAACTATTCTCCATCAATACTTCATTTTTCAATGCATTTTCAATTCAATGAATAATTTTCAGGTGGTCTGTGCTGTCTGTCAACATGTATCGGTAACGTACGAGCCCTTTATGTACCTTTCGGTGCCTCTTCCACATGCGATGGAAAGGCAACTTACCGTTACCTATATCCCAGCGACCAATGAACCTCCACTTCGATGTGTTGTATCCCTCAACAAACAATCCAATATTGGAAAATTGAAGGAAGAATTACTTAAAACGTTGGAGAAAGATGATGTCCCCACGGGTAATGTGGCCCTAGCGGAGGTATTGGAAAATCACATATCAAGAATCGTGGTAAGATATTGAATGATTATTTAAATTATGAATTTATTGAATATTAAAATTTTCGAACAGTTAGAGTCGAATTTAAAATTTCCTACATTTTGTTTGTAAGGTTTTGTTTTCGTGAATATTCAATTGAATATATGGCTTCCTCCCTGTTCAGATTCTCTGACAGGTTACTAGTCTTGTGTTTGACTCAAAGCAGTGTTGATTTAAGATTCTTGTAGTTCAACTGATTCAATGTCTACTTCATCAAGAGAGACATTATAAAATGATTGCTGATGTCTTTCGCAGTGAATAGTTTGATTGTCATGAATGAATCTCGAATCTCAAGTAATGGAACCGTGAAATTCCTTTGTTTCTGAATTGCACGAGGCAATGATAGGATTTGAAAGGAGTAAGCTAAATTATGAGAGCAAGTTATATTATTTAAAAAGTTTGAATGTAATATGGGGAACTGGAAATTATGTGAGTGAAATCTTTCATGTACGAATTTTAAGACTCTAACGGTTCGATTCTAATATTACGTGAATTCTCTCTTATTATTCTAAACTAATTATAATTTGATACTACTTTTTCATTCGGGTAATGCAATTGACAGAAATTTGAAAAAAAATAACAAAAAAAAAAAGAAAATAAAACTTAATAATAGGGTACAAATCTTGTTGTCTATCGTTGAATGCTGACGATGATCCAGTTGTGGGTTGAGACATCCTTCTCGGTATGGGCAGCTGATGATCCTGGTGACGATGGTGACGTCCTCCCGGGTACCAGTTGATGTAGAGAGAAGTTTCTGTTGATCTTAGTAGTTTGAGTTACTTTTCAATGACAGGGTCCTTCTGAAGTTGATGATTCTCTGGTTAACATGACTGAGATCCTCTAAGATGTTCCTGGCCTCAGAAGACGAAGTTTTCTCGTTGTTCTCCGTTGAGCAGTTCTGAATAGGCCTTGCGATGATGAGAATTTCAGGTGAATGTTCAGGTGGAAATTGCACGGCTTTCGATAGTTCAGCCAGTGACAAGTGTTGATGACAATTTCATCCATCAGGAGTCCCTTTGAAGGAGTTATCTTTGAAGTTGAAAGTTTCCTCTTTATTTTCATGATATGACATGTCAATGTTGTTAATGTGCATGTCGTAGTGGGAATCGCTTGTAAACCGCCAATTCTCTATTGGTACGGATAGATACAAATTTGCACCCAAAATTCTCGTTTTTCGAGTCTCAACTTATGAGGATGGTAGTTCGTTGCCCGGATCACCAAGTTTCTCGTGAATCAATAGTGCGAATTCGAATTATGTTGACAGGGGCAGATTCAAATTATGGTCGCAATATATGTGATTCTATTTTCAGTTCACTGAGACGATGTCTTCTTATGAGTTCGATTTGTCTATTTAGTCCCAATTTGAACATCATTACTAAAAGGTCCGCGATCACTGATTTCACCTTCACTGAAAACTAACTCTGGATGAATATCGTTTTTCTTTCTCATAAATTACCAAAATTACTGAAATTTACTAAAATTTGAAAGGTAGGAAAATCTACAACTGATTCATTTTGGCCCATCATAAAACATGTCAAAATTCGAGAGATTATTTGAAAAAAGGATATGGACGATGAAAATGAGTGTTATTGAATTATTTGTACCCATTCAGTAGATTATTCCATCTCAAAATCGAGAAATAGTTGGATATTACTTCCCAATATTTTTGATCTAGAAAGGAGAAAGGGGGAGAATAAAGTATATTCAACGAGTAAAAATAGTAAATCTAGTAAATCTAAGTCTAGTAAATGAAGAATGGAAATAGGAATAGTTGAACAACGGAGGTTTTTAAATCTACGAGCATGAACATTGGTAACATCGTAAAATTTTTGATAGGATATTTGAGAGGTTTGCATTTATGGACTCGCGAATAAGTTTAAAAGTGCTGGTCAATGTCACGATGAACGAGTTTCGAGAAATTGAGCATGCCATAGTGATTCCTTTCCGTTCGGGCAATTCATGGAAGATATAGAGGGAATAGCAGGGGTCAAAAATCCGAGATGAAACGATTTCAGTCAAGTTCAGACGATATTGATCGAGATCTGCATCATTTTTGAGTCGAAAAACGAATAAATTATTCATAATTGTCGATGAATTTCTCTCAATTTGAAGTAAACTCAAATTTGATTGATTAATCAATTGATCATGCTGGAAGAAGAGTGAAATCTTATTCGTAGTCCATGAAATCTTGAAAGATTGATCGAACTTTTCATCTGTAATTTTATCGATTGATCTATTGAACTTTGAGAGTGAATAAGTATCATTTATTGGCTCATGTATCTCAACTTATATTTTATTCTCATATTGATAATTAATGGGAATACTGTAATTGGGGAGGGAAGTCAAGATGACGTCCCCCTTTGCAACTGAAGTTAGAAAATCTTTAGATGAAATCGCTTCCTGTGACGGATCGAGAAATTTTACGCGATCGTGGAATGAAACTTGGGAGGTAGACTCATTGAGTATGGATTGGAAATTTGCAATTAAATCCCATGAGATCATGCACGAAGGGTCAAAATATTCTAGTAGAACATTCCTCAAAAATTTGAGAGATTGCGGCCACTTGATCAATGGATAAAAACCGAATGACTGATTAGAGAATTTTGTCTTGTTTTGCTCTTCTTCGTTATGAACAGGATTGGAAAGAAAATATGAGAGAACATCCCCCCCTGTAACTGAGGTTACAGTCATTTGAACCGGTTCATGAGAGATTGGTTCCTGAATTCTGATTTTATCATCGGAATGTACTAATTCTTGTAATAGAATCGCTGAATTTAGGGATAATTCTACACTCGATACTGCGTGATGAGTTTCATATAACTCTTCTAGTAAGCACTCAAAATTTTGAGGTGAGAGTGAGTTCACTTTTGAATATTTTAGAGGGTCAGAAATGATTTCGTTGAATTCGAACAATGATTGAACTCCTTCTAAGGCAGTGAGATCCTCAGTTTCATTAGAAATTTCAACAGGAGAAAGAATAGGCATTCTGCATAATTTTACATCTAGAATTATAAGTTGAGTTTGACTTGGCACTTGAGCATCAGCATCAGAATTGATGTTTGCAGATTGAGGACATGAATTTTCTTGAATTTTTGAACTCTCACTGAACTTGACATTACCATAAAGTAAGTCGCGATCGCGTTCTTCTTCTACCTGTTTTCGAACAATGTGGTAAATTTCGATGATTTTGGAATGAGCATGACGGAAAGATTTTATAAAATGGGCACGATAATACTGACCATACTTCTCTGGTAAGATTCGACTGAGCTTTTGAAGGGCACCACGTTCGAGGATTCTCAAAGCTTGTTCAAATCCAACGAAATCGCGGCATTGCATATAGTGCTGCGCATGTCTAACAATTTCCTGCAAACGGAGGGTGAAATCAGCTAGATTTTCACAGTAACGCGGTGTAATTTCATTGATTAATTGAACGTAATCATAGGGGCCATAGATCCCTCCATATTTGCGATATAGATGATCGAGAATATCGTGGACAGATCGAATTGATGAATGATCTAAATATAATGTTGCTGGATACTCAGTTCTATTCAAAACGTCATTAATAGTTCCACAATTCACCGGGTCATATTTGCTCAAAAATGTCCATACGGATATATCAAATTCAAGAAATTTGATGTGTGAGCAATTGAGTCCCGTAAAATATGGAATGTTGTCGAATGATGGATTTATCAAGGGCTTATCCGAGTAATCAATCATTTTGATGATTAGAATTTGAATGAATATTTAAGGACCATAATTTCCTTTTTCTAATATAAATTATTCGAATTTTCAATTTCATTAGTTTACCAGAAGAAATGGAAAATCGATTGAAAACTCTTAAATGACCGCATCAACTGTTCAATTTTCAATCATACGTTCATTAGAGAAAAATATGTAAGTGTCTGGTGTTCAATAAGAAATAATGATAAAATTTGTGGGGTGGTTACAGACTCAACGCCAGAAAAATTCCGAATGTTTCGTCACAAAGGAAGTAAATTTTTGTTTTAATCAGGCAAAAAAAACTAAATATTTTACAATAAATTTTTTTTAGATATTGCCCAGAGAAATGCAATCCAGCGTGAAATGATAGTTTAAAGAAGACTGAGAAGCATATAGAATATTTTTCAAAAGAACAAAATTTTGGATGGAAAATTGAGAATTCTAAATTTGTGTCAAAAATCCGTAAGTTTCATGCGTAACTATTTGAATATATTAGCACGAGAATGAAAATACAATTGAAAATTATTCTGGAGCGAGGAGCCACATGAATGAGAACCTCTGAGTCGCGTTGAGGTTTGAAATATTCCCAAAAGTGCAGAAAAATGTCGGAAATAAAATTATTTCATTGAGAATAATTAGTGACTCATGTAAATCAATTGTTAGAGGTAAATCAATTGTTCAATTGAAGGAGAACAATAATTAACAAATGTTTCAAATTTATTGAAGTTGACGATAATTTCCGATTATAATTCAAAAATTAAAGTGATTCAAAAATATTTCAAGAAGGATTGAATAAATAGAAATAGAAAATGAAAATTATTGAGAACTAGAATTGAGAGAAAAATTTTGAAAATTCAATTTGATTTTCAAGGGTAATTTTTTTTTTGTTTAGCTTGGAACATAAGGAAGAAATTGGCGAATATCCTTGAAAGACAAGAAATGAAACTAAAGAAAATTTTGATGTGTTGAAATTTCTAATTTCGAAAAATGTCTTATAACTGTCAAATCAAAATGACAAAAATAAAAATTGTAAAATATAGATATTTTCAAATTTGAATTAAGAATGATTTTCAAAAGTATTTTCGAATGTTAGAAAAAGAATGAAAAGAAAATGAATGAATGTTGAAAAGAAAATGAAGATTAAATATGAAATTGTGAAGAATATTACAATTTGAAGGATGAAATAATAATTCATGGAGAATTTTGAGGGATTCAATTTTTTTTTTTTTTTGTAATTTAGAAAGATTGGGAAAAATTGTGAGCTTGAATTGATTATAAATTTAATCAAAATTCAAAAGGGATAGAAATAATTTAACGCAATTCTAAAATTAGAAAGAAAATTCTTTTTGAACTTTTAGAAAATTGGGGGAAGAAAAATTGAAACGATAGTGCAGGCTAAGGATCCCACTTCTGACACCAATTTTACTGTGATAACAGGAAAATTTTTATAACATATTCAATTAAATATTAAATGCGTTATCTTTTACTTTCTTATTATCGGGATAAAATAATATTTTTGTTTAGCAGATCCTTACCTTTTAAGCGCTAGGCGCATCTGCATCTATCATTTGAATCTTTGATGTTTTCCAATTTGAAGAACAATAATGATAAAGTCAGGGGTTTGAAATAAAAAGGAATTTGAATGAAAGTTAATTCTGATATTTATTGTTTGAAGAGATTTTAATTGAACATAAAAAAGAAGGGGACCAAAGGAGAGAGAGAATTCGACTGATCTTCAACATTAGCTTATTGATTTGAAGATTTTGATTTTATAAATTTGATCTTCGCAAAAGGCCAAAATAAATAGATTGTCGGACGAATTTTGTACAAACCAATAGTAGAAATAATCCAAAGTCATTTTCCAAATGATTTTCTTGTAGAATAATAATAAGTTGATTTTCACATTAGTCTCACTTAAGTTTCTAATGAAGTTCGTTTCACTTATCGCACTATGATTTAAATTTTGAGTTAATTGTGTCCTTGCACGGTTTCATTTAATTTTTATAATTTTCTAATGTGTCCTTGCACTTATTGTCGCGAAAACGTAGTGAACAATTCGCAGTTCACTGACCGTTTCGCACCAGAGTCAACCTCTACGAAGATGTGCGTATTTGATTTTTCTGGATAACCCGGTCTATCCCATGGAACGTCGTGAAGGGCTGATAACCAATTCCGATGCTACGATCATGAGGATAGAGCCCGAGGAGCTCGATCGAATGGACGTGCCGATTTGGCATCGAAGACGAGACTGAATATAATTTCGAAAAGAATGAATCTAAAGCCCGAAAACGACAGTGCAGATGCGCTGCGTTTGCAATTTTGGGGTTTTGAAGGTCGCGCGTGGCGTACTAGCTTGGTAAATTGAGCTGCATCGACAGCAACTCAATGTCCGGTGGGCAACGAATAAGTCGAATTTAGTGAGACATAAAATTACAAACGAAATTAATTTTTTTGAATAAATTCAAAACACGACACATGTTACAATAGATACGCTTGTCTGTTATTAAAGTGTCGATATGATAACATGAGCTATCGCAACTCGAAATGTACGACACTACTTTACGGATTTTTGATCGGCGACATTTATGTTGAGGTTCCTGGAGGGTCAAGAAGGCGACAAATTATATAGTCTAGATTGTCGTCGATACTACCCTCCAAAATTGACTAATTCTTGGATTAATTGATGAGAGAACATTCTCGTAATATGAAGTTTTGATTACGAGGCTACATTTCATTGAACATTATTTTGAAATATTTCCATATTTATTTTGTTTTTAATTGCTAACATTTGCTCACCGAGTAAAATCTTTGAATTTGCAATTTTTATCATTGGACGATTTCAAACGATATTTATCGAAATTAGTTTCCAATTTTGTTCTTCTTTTACAGGATGATAACTTATTATTGAGACACGTTAAAGATGTGAGTCGATCGATATACGCGTTTGAGTTGATGGATCCTCCAGACGTTTACATACCAACGAACGAGGGTGGTAGTGATCGTCTAACAGAGACTGAACCCTGTCAGAATGTTGCCAACACAGAAGAGGAAATTGGTCCGTGTACAATATGTCTCGAGGAATTGGATGGAGACCTGATGAAACATGGTGGCAACAGCTGCAGTTTCATCATGTGTGAAACCTGTATTGAGGTGAAATATCATATTTTATCATTTCATTTTCAATTATCGATTTGAAATTCAATCGATTATTTAATCACGATGAAAAATCTTCTCTCAGAGACTTCATAGCAGATTTAAAGTCTAATTATAATAAATGAAAACAGTCTACTTTAGATATTTCATTGATAATTTTGTTTCAAACAAATTGAATATTTGTCCGTTAGAAGATTCATAACTATTGAATATTCAAATGGAGAATCCTTCAAAACCTGCATAATCGTCAACTTGAGGAGAAGTTCTTTGTCACTTTCTGCTTTAACAACGATTTCTGAAAGGTTTTCTTCATTCAATGGAGGCCAACTTATCACTACACCGATTGAATTAATGTTCACCATCTATTTAAAAAATGTCAACTCACAAGAAAAACCAAAGCTACTTGAAAAAGTGCAATCCCACGAATCGACTAAATTTGATCATTGAATGGTTTGTCTCGTTAAGATCCCGAACAAGCAGCATGACAGAAGCCATTTTGATGGATGACATGTTACTCTCTACGCTTTTTTCTTTCTGCTATTTTCGTTTCTACCAATGTCACTGGTAGTAGGCGTCTGAATGGATTCCAGTTCATGTTTTCAAATATTCTCCTCTCTGTGCCCATCCGTATGAGGAATCCGCCAATTCTGTATACGAAAAATTACCTCAAAATTTTAATTTTTTTCCCTATTTTTTATCGGAAAGTACAGTCTAAAAGAAAAAAATTATTGCAAACGGAGTTTTCTAACTCAATTATTGTCGGAGATATTGAAGAATGATTTATTTTTTCTCCTAAAAACTTTTTTTTTCAATTCTAATTACGAGCCACAATGAATAACAAAACAAAGCTTGAACCTATAGATTTTGTCGGAAATTTTCTCAGCTTTCCGAAATAGTATATTTCAGGTCGAGTGCCATGGGGTTTTTTACTCGCGTGGTGTTGGCGTCCGAGCCGAAGGCGAGGCAAAAAATCGATATTACTAATGCGGCGGGGGCGAAACGAGAGTCGACACATTCAATAATTAGAATTACTGAATATAATTCGGAAAACAAACCAAACAAATTATCCATGAGTTAACCAGACCAATTATAAAAAAATAATACTGGTTGGAACGAACAGATGGATTTTGTCTCATAGTGCAATTCTCTTAGCCAAACTCGAGCTTCAAAATTAATCAGGTATGTCTCTCAAGTTTCCCTACATACAAACGAACCTATTGGGAAATCCCTGATAATTTTGAAGCTGTTTTGGTATTCCATTCGAAAATATCTTGACTAATCATTTCTTGCTAAATTTTTATCGATGAAACGGTTGAGAACAGTAAAATTTTTTCAGAACTTACCCCCTCGAAAATGACGCACATTTTAAAGAAAATTTTTTTATTGTTTGTTTAAACAAATTATTTTAAAAAATGATCAATTTAATGTAAATAGACGTCATTTACGTATTCTATGGGAAGCCTATTCATTCATATCCCGTCAAACGGAATGAATAGCAATTTCATTCAGGGGAGACTACTATGAGTTTTAAAAGTCGCCGGCTATTGGAGTGAGATTTCTCATGCCTTGAAGATCGATTATATGTGTCTAAAAACGAATAATTAGTGCAAAGAAATTGATTGTTTATTGTTCGTTTACCCCGCTGACGCTTAAAATGTTGAAGATAGTTCGTGAGACTCCAAAGAACAAAGTTAAGCTTCCGTTTTACGATCCATTATATAGATCATGAAAAAAAATCGAAGAAAACCGAAAACAAACGAAAAAAATTAAAAAAAGGGGGTTTTTCTTCTGATCGTCAACTATTCAAAACAAAGATTTTTGAGGCATAATGCAAAGACAATCAGAAGGGAAAACCCTTTTTTTCAAAGGAACGTTTTAAAGGTAGAAACATGAATAACGACGTTTTCCGTGGAAGTACGGGGTAAAACCAATTGTGTCCAGGATTTTTCCCACTTTTTAACATATCTCATCATATAACTAAAGTCGCTCAATGAGTCCCTAAAGCCACCGTAGATTTTCAAATTTCACCGGGGTCCCTCCTTAAAAAATTGTTAATAACAAAAAACGTGACCAGAGTTCGACCCGGGGAGCCCGATATTCGGATTCAGTGGGTCAAAAACATAGGATCCAATAAAAAAAATTTAAGCCTAGATGGTCACCCTATGAGAGAAACCTCGCCGCGCGTGGTTTTTCTTTAATTACCATTAATTGGCTCACCGGAAAAATTAAAAAAAATTTGACTTTGTCAACTGAAGTGTCTAAAAAATTATAGTAGTTTTTAGAACAACATATTTCCCAAAATTCTAAAAGAAAACACATTATTTCTTACAGATGAATTATTTTTTCCCATGTTAAATGAAATTGCCCATGACGCGACGTTGCCGGAAACTCGCTAAACGCGCCTGAGCAGTGTAGAGTGAATTCGGCAATGCTAAAGCCTTAATAACACGGCGGCGAATCCCCGCGGATGTGACCAAAGTCACATGGTCGCGTTTGGTGACCAGACTAGAGTTAATCCGCCTAAAATGTACGTAAAGACCCCCCCCCCCCCCCTCCCCAGTGTATGGACTAAATGAAATTTGGGAGAAATCGAGTTATTTTATTGATTCATAGCAATAATTGGTGAGACAAATTCGAAATAGAAGATTCCCTTTAACCCCTCAAGGACGGGGTCCATATACGTATATGGACCCAATCAAAAACGCATGATTCTGTTCAAAACTAGATAATTCCAAAAATGTCACAGATAATCCAATTCCGCCAACGCCGTTTGAAAGCCCAGGTAAGAATTACATAGGCTAACGATGAAAACAAGCCTGTATGAGCCCAGGGTTGGCGAGGCTCAGTTATTCAGGCCTGGGATAGGCTTGGTTTCATCGTTCACTTGAGCTTCAAATGAGGATGATTAAAGGGGCCACTGGCGAGGCTCAATCCAGGCCTAGTCCAGGCTTTCAGTATTCAGGCTGAGTACGTCAAGGCTTATTCAGGGCTCAGCAAGGCCTCGAAAATTAAAGTTACTTTCGATTAATTTCCTCAATTTTTATATCAATACTCATTAGCTAATGGTGGTGAAAACATTATCATCATCTACAAACATAGCTATAATTTTCTGCCAAGTTATCTAAGCTACCCCCAGACCAGACCTAGAGCAGCCCTTTGTGCACGAGGCTACATAATTATTATTATCCTTATCTATAATTAATCAATCGATTCTGAACTCATAAATCCATCGGACCTATCATTTATTCAAGTTCAGGAAGTTTAATTAGGATATCAACAAAATAACAAAATAACACTAACACAAGTTGAATTTTTATACCCGAAAAAAATGTATCATCCTAAGAAGTCGCAGGTAGTCCAGTGGATAGCGCGCTTGTCTACGGATCAGGAGGGCCCGGATCGAACCCCAGCAGAGGAGCAAATTTTTAAATGTTTGATTTCATTGTATTTCAACTTCCAGGTGCACGGTAATAATCCAGGATGAATAATTAATAGAAACTAATGATGATAATAATTTTTTTCCCATCCATTGTTAATTAACCGACAATCACAATCACCAACAACGCTTAGCAACAGTGACGTACGGTCCGACCGCACTCTCTTTCATAGGTTACTCTAAATTCATAAAAAGGGCTATGAAGCAATAAGAAATTGTTTATACAAATATCTATAAACAATACTCCAGTTTATTTAGCCGAAGCTCGATTGAGCCTTTAAAATGTGGTAATTCAAGGCTTGAATCAAGCCTTGGCACCGAGCCTCGTTCAAGCCTTGCGGACTAAGCCTGAAACGAGGTTATCATTTTAGGGCTGAAGGAGGATTGATCCAAGGCTGAGCCCCAGCCCTGATTGAGCATTTCCGAGCCTTGGTCCAGGGCTTGATGAGCCCTGTTTCTATCGTCAATTCTTACCTGGAAGCTGGATAATGTAGCTCGAGGGGCTGGAAACTCCAAGATCGAGTGACACCATGAGTGCTAAATGCAGTCAATTTCACTCGATTACGTTAATGATCACAATGATTTCATTGAATTTATGTGTAACGAACATGTGGGGATGTTCGTTAGAACGCTATAAGGCCACAGGAACAACAAACTCCCGTGACGTAGAAAGCCGATCCGTGAGTAAAGAGTAGAGAGAGAGAGAGAGAGAGTTTCGCTTTTCCATCCCGGGGTAGTCAGACGTCCAATCGTCGTTCCGACAATGAGGTTTTGGGATTTCCACGCCATGGCATGGCTAAATTCGTTTTTCAAGGTTTTGGTTCTGTAATATCAATTTTTTTGTGTGTCAAGACCAGAATAATTACGCGTTTTTGAGGGCCCATGGAATTATCGTGAAGAAGGACCAAGTTATGTGTCATCCGATTATTTTTATGGGGTCAACTCTATTGTTAATCCCGCGGAAAATCGATTAGGTCCGGTTGCAATACCGGCGCTCCACAATTTCGTTGAATTTTACGGGGCTAAATGGTTACCTTTTGTGTTTTTGGTGGAAGGTCGTTAGGAGCAAGTGCAACCCTTGTCTCCGACGGATTGCCAGGTTGCTTTAGAGTTTAGTCCAGAATAATAGTTTGATAATTCACAGTAATAAAGAATTCGAGTTTATGTGTCTTTTAACCCCGTGAATCCAGGAGAACCGACCCGTAGGAGGCGCGAAAAACCCTCGGTAATTTTCCGAACGTCCACCAGTTCGGCCCGGATTAACATCATTTTATTTTATAAAGTTATGTAGAGAATATTTAGAGTTGAGTATTTTCATTTTGAATTCCCCGAAATCATTCGGCGGCGCCATCGAAACCCACGGTTGATGTGCCAAAGTCTCCGCCAATTAGAGCCCGCCTCTGTTGGCCGGACTTCGCGCTGCAGTTAGTGCCCGCGACACTGACCCAGGGCAGGTAGTTCCGCGTTGGCTGGCTTAGTCATTAGTCGTGCCCTAGTGAGTCTCCCGCAAGGGCTTAGCGCTTAGTTCGTGATAGTCATTCCTTGGCTTATTCGTGCCCTT